TTACAACCCACACAAAGCTGCCCAGTCGGGGTGCACGTCGCACGGCGGATCCCCCCAGCCTGAGAGCTAGGAAGTCTGGGCCTTCGCTCTGTTCCAGCTCCAGCCTCAAACGTCCAGCCACCTGCTGGATTTCTTCACTTGGATGCTTCCCAGACCTTCCCACATCCTCCACCCCAAACTGAACACCTAACCCTCCCCCAAGAAAGCGCCTTCCTCCCCAAGTCCTCCCACTCGGCACCTGACACCGCCCTCTACCCGGGGGACCCTCACCTGCCACACCCATGACAGCACCCACGTCCTGAGGACCACACCTGCCACGGCCACCTCCCAACCCTGGCATCCTGCAGTGGCCACTGGCACTGCCACAGCCTTTCAGACCACGTCCCTGTGTCCTCTGCCGCTGCTGTCTGGCTGGAGAGAAGCCCAAGTGATCACGGAAAGATTAAATCAACATCACCCTCCCCCTACTCAGAACTCATCACTCCCCTCCCAGGCCTGGGGTAAATCTCGTAACTCGTCGCCTTGGTCCTGCACAACCTGGTCCCGCCAACCTGCAGCCCTCGAAACTGAATCCAAGTGACACCGGAAGCTTCTGTTCCTCAGACACACCAAGTTCTTCCCTGCCCCAGGACCTTTGCACGTGCTGTGCTCTGTGCATGGCACGAATCCATGGCCTCCAAAGACAGCGGGCAGAGAGGAGGGACTCCCTCCTCTCCTTGAGCTTCTCTCCTCTCCTTGCTGGCTCTATCCTGTGCTGCAGGTCCCAGCTAGTCAGTTCCATCCCAGGCAAGGGAACCCATGGTGTGGTTCCTTCAGCTGGAGCACTCACCCCCAAGTCGTGAGTCCGTAAGCAGCCGCTGCTTTGCTTAGAGTGCAGCTGTCGCACCATCTGGCCCCTGGCCCGCCTCATCTCACCAAGCCACCCCTGAGCCCCCTGAGCTCCTTCAGGGCAGGGGCTGACCTCACCCGTCACCACAGCAAGGTGCCTAGCACACTGTCTGACACACAGCAGGACCTCAAAGAAATACTTGCCGCATGAATGAGTGCTGTGATCTGAAAAGCTTTTAAGGTTTGGAACAAACGTTCTTCCAAGGCCAAGTGACTCAAAAAAGAAAGAGGGGTGGGGAAGTGGGGGAGAAGGAGTGAGAGAAGGAGGGAGAAACCACAGCTGAACATGCATACGCTGAAGATTTTTCATTTTATATTTAAGGAAAGAGAATGAAATGGTCTTATACTCATTTTATTTTCATATAAAGAGGAGCATAAAACCACTAGGCGTGCCAAAAAAAATGAAGTTTTATAGTGTGGCAAATAAGAAAAAGAGAAGGGTGGGGACCGATAATTGAGAGGAAGAAAGGGGCCGGCACAGAACCGGAATAGAAACAGATGCGGCCCGGAGGCCGATCGCAGCTCCGCGGCACGGCTTGGTGGCCCTTCTGGGAACAGGGGGCAGCCATCCGGGCTTCCAAGGGGCTTTCACGCCTCCCCAAAGGCTAAGGCACCAGCCTGTGTGAGGGCCCCTCTCCTCTCCATTTTCCAAGAAGTTTAAAAAAACTGACATTCTATGCTAGAGCTCATGGGTTGGCCCGTTTCTGTTGGAGAGAACACTATCAGAGAGCTCATTTAAGAAAAACGCCCCGCTGCATCAGAGATGCAGTGTCCCCCAGAGGGACACGGCGACACGTAGTTCAGTCACACACTGCTTTCTCGAGGTCCAGCAAGGAGCGGAGGTCCTCAGGGCCCTCGGGAGGGAAGGTTGTGACCTTCAGGCAGTGTTTCTGGCAATTTTGCACAGCACATCCAGGCTGTTCCCCGCTCTGGAACTTTCTGCGGCCCCAGTGCCCAGGGAGGGTGAGCAGAGCCTAGCACCCCGCCCAGCCCGGCCTTTCTAGCTGAGCAGCCTGGCACAGTGGCTCATCCTTCCCCACCAGTCAGCGAAGGGCTCCCCGAGAATCCGGGTTTGGGCACCCCTGAGCCAATGGGAGGAGAATTGCAACCAGAGCAACAGAGGAGGGAGCCAAGGGCAGGAGTCTGTGATTCTGCCCCAGGCTCTGCCCTGGTGAGAAGGCAGCGCTGAGGGTCCGGAGTAGGTCAGACATGAAGGACCGGGAGGCCGCGTGTAGGTGGAACCAGGCTCTACACTCAACAGCGACGACCTTGAACAAGCTCCTTGACCTCCACTTCTCAGGCGAAGTAAATCAGCCTGAGTAGGGACCAGGGCCCGCCCGGCTGGGTGCTGGCCAGCGTTCATGCGCTATTATCATCTCGTTAAAGGGCAAGCGCCAGAGTCTAGAACCACAGAGAGCGCTCAGCAAACATGGTCAGAAAATCAAGACACCACAGCTCTAAAAACTAAGCGGCCAAGAAAAGAGCCTCCCAACTTCCCCTTATCTTACTTCCTACTTTCCATGAGCAATCAGAGCGGAACTTATCAAAGCCTAAATTGAATCATACTGTTTTCCAACTTTCCATATCCCAGGAGAAAAGTTAAAACTCTCCCCCATGCTCTGTGGGCCCTGCATGCTCTGGCCCGCCCAGTCTTTCTCCCGCCCACCCTCTTCCAGTTACATAGCTGAAGTCCCTCTGCCCTGGGGCATCTGCACAGGTGCAAAAAATGCCCTCAGCATTAGTCTCGTCCCCAAAGCTCTGAGAAGCTGCTGTGCTCCAGCACCAGAGAGTTGCACACACCCAGAACCCAGCACGCTGTTCCTCACGCTGCGTGACACCTTTGTGCTTTCACCACTTGCATTATTGTTGAGACTTCTTTTGAATCCATCACTGTACGTCAGCATCAAGCACAGCATATGGCAAAGAGCAGGTGCTCAGCCTATAGCCACAGGACGAGTCCACTTGCTGGTGGGTTACTGAGCAAAGAAACCTGGCCCCTGTCATCTCAAGTTCAAGTCTTTGCATTGACCCACCGAGCCTGGTTTAATGCAATACTGTAGTCTCCTCCAAAAGCCCTGTTTTCTAGTTTGTTTTAAAGAATCTCTCTCTATATTACCACTGAAGACTAATGTCACTAATATTTATACCGCCAGATACCCAGACTAAGACCACTCTCTGAGGCGGGCAGGTCCCAGCTTACATCAGCTGAGCTCAGACCAGTGACCTTCTTTCCAAAAAACAACACTCAGGCAGGACAGAGTAAGTGGTATCAGAGCAGCCCTTCAACCAGAAACAACTGTAACGTGGGACAAAAGCCTCTCAGTCTGCTGCTTTCAGGCATTAGACAGCAGGCAGAAGCCTGTGGTCCCTGAGAGAAAGGAGACATCCATCCCTGTTCTGTCTGAGAACAGCTTTTCTACCTCATTCAGGGGGTGGAGTTCACAAAGAGCATAGAGTTCAGAGTTCCTGAGCCATGGAAGCAGCTGGAATCTGTGGGCAAGGCATCGGAGAGGAAGAAGATGCTTGGCAAGCCAGTGCTTGGCCGAGGGCTGGCTATGTGAGCACAGAGGCGAGGAGCCGAAGAGAACAGAGAAGCTAAGAGGCTGAGCAGGCTGCTAGTCTGTAGTAGGAGCCCAGGAGGGGGGGCTTCCCCCCAAGTGAGCCAGAAGTCTGTGCTCCAGGCATGCCTCAAGGAAGGGCTACCCCAGCCCTGGCCTAGCCAAGCCTCGCCTAGGTCCCCAGAGGAGCAAGCTGGGGGCCAAGCCCATCAACGTGAAGGCCAACACCAGGGACTTGCTGACCTCCACCCTGATCAAGTGTGGACCGAAGCGGCCAGGCAGTCACGGAACTGCCTTTAGAGGAAAATAAAGTCCGAAATCTGCAATACCCAGCGTATAGCATCACATATAGCATCACAGTGTCAGAACATAATCAACAATTACTAAACATGAAAAGGAAGAAAATACAAAGCAAAGAACAAAAGCAGAAACAATGGACAAAAAAAAAATAGATTCCAAGGTAACTGTGATATCAAATTAAGAAAAAACAACTGCCAAGGTGTTCAGCTCCTCATATTATCATAAAAATCTTTAACCAGGTGGGCACGCCAAAAGCACCTGTGGAGGTTTGGGGCTCTAGGGTTTGTTTTTGTTTTTGTTTTTGTTTATTGTTTTTTATTTTTGTCTGCATTTTATTCATTTCATAGTTTCTACAGTCAAATGCTCTACCACTGAGCTATACCCCGCACTCATTTCATAGTTTCTGAGTAAGTAGGAGACAAGAATCCATGTTTCTAGAAACTCTATAAAAGGTTCTAATGAATACTGCATCAGATTTTTATCACGTAATTCTCATGGAATACTTCTAATTGAAGGCAAATACCAAAAAAGTTAAATTAATTTAAATGTATTGAAGGTTCTGGTTCATCAAGTTGGTTGGTAGAAACTACTCAGCAGTTCCTGGTTAACCAGACTACACAATTTAAATCATTTCAACTCTTATTTTGGAGGGAAAAAAGCATACTTCTCTGCCTAATTCTTTTGCTCTGAGGTTAAATCAAAAGCCACAGACATAAAAGACAATGATTAAGGAAAAAACAAGAGAAAATGCTCTGGTCAAGTTAAAAAAATCCAAGCACAAAATGCTATAACATCAGTATAATGTACAGTACTCAACATAACCATGAAGGCCAGAGGCATGCTATCAACATGCTAACAACGGCTATTGCAGACAATTTAACGATGTGAAGTTTTAGTTTTTTTGTACTCTACTTTACAAAAGTTCATAGAGATTTTCTTCTATGAACTCTCAACTGAAATTTAAACACAAAATGATGGCTCTGGAAACCTGACAATCTACTAAAACTCTGCAAATGCAGTGATTTCCTAACCTGAAAAGGAAGGGCAAGAAGAAGCATGAGTATTGTTTCTATCCTTTGGAAGACCCTTGAGTAGTTGGAATAGCTACTGATACTAATTCAATCTCGAATTTTCCTTTCCTCAGAGAGGCAAGAGATTGACACATTTCTCAAACTAATAAGCAACAAGCAGCCCCTTACAGAAGTGGGTCACTAGGGACAAGTGAAAAGAAAAGAATAGAATTCAAGTCCGTACCTGAACCACAGGGTGGCCGCCAGTTGGAGCTTTGACAGCCCCTCGGCTGCCTTCCGTCTCATAATGGGCCCGGTGATGCGGTTTGGGCTGCACTTCGATCCGTAGCTCATAGGAGCCCGACTGGTGAGACAGTGGCCACTCAAGTGGAGGGAGTGATGCAGTCACTGGGGTGCTGAAGGAGAAACAGAAGTATTCAGGGTACAACAAATCAGCATCAACCTGTACAATAAATGTAAATGGCCCCTTTTATGAAAGTTATGTTCTGTGGTCACACAAAAGTAGAAATCTTTCTCTTTGCACTCTCTTCCCTATTGCTGAAGACAATGTGACTTGTATCTCAATCCATAAAGTTAATTTCAGTATCTGTTCCTTCTAGCATGTGCCTAACCCTGTAATTTAATTTTCCTCCAGGAAGTTTGAAGAGATGCACCTCTAAAAAAATAACCCTTAACCAAAACACTTGCTTTTCCCAGAGACGACAAAAGAGAAAAGGAAGAGTAAAGTAGAAATGAGAACTTCCAAGTGTCACTCATTTGCTCTTGTCCCCTAAAACCATGTGACATATGCAAGAGATGACACCCAAGTGCTTTTTCAGCTATTTCTGTGTCTGATGACCTCAGTGAATAGTAAATTTTAGGGAGAGATCATTTGTTGTTTATCAAGTCTTACTTATCAGGTCAAATGTAAAACACTGGCAGCAGAGAGGTGTCTGGCTTTGGGATGGATGAGCCAAGTCACTCAGACCTTAATATTAAATGAAGAGCAACAGTCAAGAACATGATCCAACCAAGTTCAAGTCCCAACCCCAGCCCCACCTCTACCTACCTGTATTATTTTGAGCAAATGCCACCATATCCCTAGGGCTTCCTTCCCTCAACTGTGCAGTGGGGGATACTAAGACCATGTAGAGAGATCAGCGTAATAAATGCTTATTAAGTATTAATCATAGGTATTTGTTTTCCTGCAACATGTGGTCTATTTCAAATGAATAGATATTTCCTTCAGACTCTCTGGCTTAGTTTGAATATTTAATATATATATATGAAGCTGTAAGGTCCTTAAGAACATAATCAAGTTTCATTTCTTAGTCCCAGCCTAGCACACACGGCTCAGCCTTGCTACTTCAGGTAGTAAATATGAGGTTTTAATTATGTCATTTAAGAACTGATTGAGGCTTTGACGTCCCCCTATTCTACTCCTTCAGAGTTTCACCTCAACACTGCCTCTTGTTTTAGAACATTATTTAAAATAGGTTCAAGAAAAGAGATCACTTGTAGAATCACTCTGAGCCATGAGTGGGGCAGTTAACAAGTTCTAAGTGAATATTCAGTGAATACGTAGGTGAAAGGGTAGCAGAATGGACGAGCGAGTGAGTGAGGGAGCAGTTTTATTTCAAAGAACTCCTGAAGTAGCAAATCATGTATTTGTCTCACTATGTCCTGATTTTTCACATATGGTGGAAATCATTAACCCAATTCTTTGCATTAGTGGCAAGGACATTCTTCCCCATTACGCCTAGGCTACTAGAAGCTGACATAATAATCCCCCCTTATCTGCAAGACCCCTAGCAGATGCTTAAAACCATATATAGTGCCAAACACTATACTATTTTTCTTCCTGGACATATCTAACAATGATAGTTGGATTGGTAAGTAAGGCACAGTAAGAGATAAGCAACAATAAGCATAAAAAAGCAACAACAACATATCTAATAAAAGTGAAGTGAATGGGACCTCACCTCTGAAAATATCTCATGGTACGTAATTATTTTCAGACCACAGTTGACCACGGGTAGCTGAAACCTCAGAAGGCGAGACCACAGTGAGGTAGACACTGCAGGAACTAGAATTAGTTCAGCACTTGTGATGCAACCAACCCTATTCCTTGTCCTACACAGCTGACTGGGGTGAGGATAGCACCCCTCAACCTCCATCGATTCTGGAGTCCAGCCAGGACATCAATCCAGCGCATAATTATATCATCGCTTTACAAGCAAGCGACTGCCACCCCTTCTAGCCAGGCTGCCTCCTGCAGCCTTTCTTATCCTGAAGTCTCGGGAGACCCAAGGGCCTGCACTTCTACCATAATTACAGTGCCAAGAAACCCTCAAACTTCTGCCTGCAGCCCAGATACACTGTCATCATGAACACAAATTGAAATATTTAAAAATTTGCAAAATCAGGCTCATAAAGAAATTCACTTCACCCTGATTATCTTTTGAAGCATCAAAACATTCAGTGAACTATCTCTGAGTACCAAGTTTTAATCTCGTTTGGTCCTGGGATAAGTCTTTGACCACTAAAATGCCGTCTCAAGAATGAGGCCATCAGAGCCTAATCTGCATGTGTGTTCTCTCTGCAGTTTTTGGCACACCCAAGAGAAACATTATCCATGACACTCCTAAAGGCTCCATCCTCGCACTCTTAAAAAAAATGCACGTTAATACGTCATTTAGCACAGAACGGAACTAAAGGACTCTATCGCCTTCAGAACCTTTTGAATCAAATCACAGGAAGGAAAGGGAGGATTTTATAAGCAATAAAGTCGCAGATAAATGCCTCACAACTCTGTTTTATATCAATGTTCATCTCCACTCCCAACCATTAAAAATGAATCCCATTTGGGAGACAGGGCTGCAACAGATGGAGCAGCCCAGTCCCTGCTGTTGGGTGACTGTGAGCTTGTCACTTCCCTTCTCAGAGCCCAGACTCCCTCAGAGGTCCTGGGGTGCCACCGCTCCCACGGTGGCTCTGTGAAACTGGTCACGGAACTCAGTGCTCAGTGGCCAACGGGCCTTTGTGTGACTGCACAGTCCACCCCCAGCTGAGTAGGCAGGCCCTGGACCAAGGTATCGCTACACCTCAGGGAAGCCAGAAGCTGTGTAAGGGACATCTGCTGACCTGCAAAGGCTGAGAGTGCTGAGACCTGTTCTGGAGGAAAGGCCAGATGGGACACTCCATACCATCCAGTTTGGCCCCATGTGGAGTAAACAAAGCCTGACGGGAAAGGCCCTGCCTATTCTCAGCCCCACATCAACCACAGAGGCTCACCCATGCTCTGCTCTGGTGTTCAATTCATTATTTTATGTGAAAAAAAGAGGTTTCCATTTGCTAAAAGCAAACATGTTGAAAACAACTGGGAGATGATGTATAGGGCTTCAGAGTCTTACACTTATTCAGAGACTAGAGGAGATAACATCTACCCAGCCTTTCTGTGTGCCTCGCTCTTCTGGTCACTAAGAGAAAGGTAACAGTAACACCAACCATGCTTATTTGAGAATAAATTAAATCAACCATACAGAGTACTTGACTTGTGCCTTGCACATCACACGTGGTTTAAATGCTGGTATCACTGATCAGACCATATAACAGGAAAGTCACTGGGAAGCCAATCTCTAACACAAGGCTTGGCAATGAAGTAGCACTTTCTATAGTGATTCCCCTATAAGAAGACTCCCTTATAGTAATGACAGCTGCCCCTTTCCTGCACGGCACCCACGCTCTATGTCAAGAGTTTGACATATATCATCTCACCTAATCCTTGAAAAAACCACCATCAGGCAGGTATTATTATTTTCCTCACCTCACAGCAATGACCCAAGGTTCTGATAGGTGCCCAGTGAGAAAGCAGATCCTGATTGATTAGTAATGTCTGCTCTGAGCACAGCATCAAAAAGATGCTCAAGGAGAAACAAATCCCTCATTGATTGGTGATGTCTGTCAGGGGCACAGCAAGATGGTAGCACCAAAGTGTCCACAATCACACAGCCAGGGAGTATCAGAGCCAGGACCCCAAAGTCTACATGCTGCACCTCTCCAGCTTACCGGGATTTGAAACTCCTTGAGGATGATGGTTTACATGTTTGTAAGAGTCGCGCTATCACTGATTGCAGTACTATGTTGACTCCCTTTGCAGTGAGATAAAGGCTCACTTTGGACTTGTCAGAACTTCAGCTCTGAGAAGGCAGAAAGGCTTGCCCATTTTGTTCACCACTATCTCCCTAACACCTATAAAGTACCTGGCACAGAGTAGGTGCTTGATAAAACCTATCAAACCCATCACTTAGAGCCAGGTGCCCTATGAGTAACTGCATGCACCCCTGACGGCAACCTCAGGATGGCCACAAGCCAGGGACCTGTGTGCCCATCTCACAGATGAGTGGCTCTGAAAATGTCTGCAGAAAATTAACCTTTCTTCTCAGGTCTCACAGTAAGCAAAGATCAGGATTCACTTCCGTTTTCCCTGCCACCACCACCCACCCACCCACTCTAAATCCCAGGAGACCTGCGGGACTAAACCTGCTTGGGATAAATGGCTGCCCACGTGGACTCACCTGAAGATGGGAATGGTGGGCACCAGCTGCTTGGGCCAAGTGGGCGGCACCAGCAAGATGGACTCGGGGGCTGAGTTCCGCCTCTCGTCCTGCTCGCAGGGCCCCAGGAACTCCACGGTCGGGTAGAGGTGGCGATGCAGGCCGGCCTTCGGGGGGGCGGCGGCAGACACTGGCGTCGGGTCTGGGCTTGTCTTCCACATCTTGGGGGGGATCCCGCACGGCGAGTCAGCCGCCAGGCTGTTGAGGGCATCCATGAGGACCGCAGAGCCAGCTGAGGGGGGGTACCCAGCAGGGGCGCCGTCCTCCCGGGGCTGCGGCGAGGGGCTCCGGGAGCGCTGGGGTGAGGCTCCGGGCAGCGGGGCGACCACGGCCCCAGCACACGAATGCCTCCGCTTGGCACCGGGCGACGAGGAGCGGGAGGCCGGACGGGGCACGGGCGAGTGGCGGCCCAGGCAGCTGTCCTCAGTGAGGCTGGTTCGAGGTGACATTATTGGCGAGGTTCTGGGGGAATAATGAGCAGGGATGTTTTGAAACTGGGGACACAGGTCGTCGGGCCCGCCGTTATTGGGCGAGACGCAGGGCGAGGTGCAGGGGGAGAAGGTGTCGGAAATGAAGCTGGCGGAGGAACCGCTGCTAGCCGGGCTCAAGCAAAGCGGCTCGCGGTAGCTCTCCAAGCCAGGCACGGGCAGGGTGAACCTCGGGCTGGCGGCCACCCCGGGCACGGGCGGCTGCTCCCCCAGCAGGCCAGCGTCTCTGACGCGGAGGGGTCCCCCTGCCTGCATCAGTTCGTGGGACGGAGTGATCTCGATGCGAGGGCTCAGGCCCGAGGCCCCGGCGGGCTTGACCGGGCTCAGAAAGTTCTGGGGCCCTCCCCTATCCGGCTCTCCGAATCTGCTGGGGGGCTCGCCAGGGAGACTGGGATGGGGGCTGTATGGCTTGAGGCCATAGTCCAGGACATCATCATGGTATGCGAGTCCAGAGGGTGGGCTGGCGACCTTATGCGCATTCGGTTCTTCTGGAAAGAGAAGGGGGGAAGGAGGGGTCTTTTTAAGCCTCTAAAACAAAATTCCCGATGCAGAACAATCCCAGGCCGGCTTTTGTCTCCTGTCCTTTTTCTGTTAATCCCCAACCCGCCAGGCCCCAAGCTGGAACCTCCTCTCCTCACTGCCAGGGGAGGACACGACTTCACCCCAGGTTCCCTGCAGAGAGACACCGGAGCCGAAGGATTGGTGCAGGAGGCGGGAGACGGGCGGAGGGGGGGTGGGGGGCCCAAACCCGGGAAGCATTTATGTCAGTTCACGGCCCCTGTTCGCTGGCGACTGAAGGCCTCACCGCACCGTATTTGGCCGCCAGCAGGTGCTCCTATCTTTGGGGGTGAGGAGTGAGGAGAGGGGGGACTTTTTGTTTAAACGCCAGTCACAACTCACTAGGCAGATTCCTGCACACGAGTGGGGCAAGAGTCCGGAAAACACGGGTCTAGATGGGCCTCCTCGCCCACCCTGCAGCTGTGGGACCCCGGACTGCAAGCAGGGAGCCTGCCGGCACCCGGAGCCCGACTTTCAACCCCAGGCGTTTGGAAGGCCCCAGGGTAAGAAGTAGCTTAGGCCTCAGCTCAGGTTTCACTTCATGGATAAGGAAAGTGAGGTCCTGGGAGGGAAAGAGATTCACCAGAAGATACAGAACTCACAGGAGGCGAGATCCCCACAAACAAGCCACTTGACCCCCAAAGCCAGGGTCTGGCTATACAGTCTCCCACATTATAAAACCAGGGGAAGGGGAAGCGCCGGTTTGTGCTGTGACCCCAAGTTTCCCCAGCCGCCCCCCCAAGGAAAGCACTGTTTAACCACCTAAAGACATGGTCAGCCCTGCACTGTCATCTAAAGTCTTCTCAAGTACATGGAACCCCGCTGCTGGGCAGGGCTCACGGGGCTGCATGGGGGTTTCTGTGGATGAGCAAAGGGTCTAGCTATTCATTCCCACCACCCCTCACCCCACTCCTCCTCCACGTTGCCAGGCCTCATAGCTAAGCCACCCTGGAATCCTGACAGTTCCACTCTCAAAGTACAAACCAAATTCTTGTGCTGCTCACTCGACCACAACCACCTGCACGCGGCAGTCACCCCAGCCCTGGTCCCCTCATTTCAATCCTCACCCTGTTCTCTGCACAGCAATCTCCTGGAAGGCTCGTGGGGGGCACCTGCTTGAAAGCCTTTCCCAGGTGGGATCTCAAGTCCTTAACATACTGTCCCTGGGCCCCAACATGTCTGCCCTCCCCCACTTTTTTCCAAGGTGATTTAGCAATAGCCCCACACAGCCTCATTGTTCTTCCTGCACCAGAGTTCTTGAGTGTGCTGCGCCATCTGCCTGGAAACCCCCCAACACTCCACATGACTGCTCCCCTTAGTTCCTTCAGTTCAGTGAACACTGCCTTTTGGCCCATCAGAAAGATCATCCTCCACCCACTCCTGTGTCATTTGCTGCCTCTTTTGTTACTACTCTAAGACACCACATCAGATGTTCATCTATTTAAAGGATCTCATTCTGCTAGATCAGGGACAGGCAAATTACTGCCAGGGGCCAAATCACAGTTTGAGTTTGTCAATAAAGTTTTATTGCAACCCAGCCACACATGTTTGCTCACCTCCGGCCCATGGCTTGCTATTGCACTACAGAAGCAAGAGCTGGTAGTCGCAACAGAGACGACAGCCTAAAACACTCACTACCCGGCCCTTCACAGAAGTTTGCGACGCAGACCGCAGACAGCGTGCTCCACCGGGGCTGAGACTGTGTCCCAAGTGCCTAACACAGGCTGTCTAGAAACATTTGTTGATTGACTGAGCCAACAAGTACGAAGAGACGTATGTACAAGGGCCTGCCAGCCAGAAAGGAGACTTCCCCCTACGGCAGCGTGGCTGGCCTGCCTTAGGGAGCTATGAAAGCTCCTTGGTGCCATTTTCAGGCCATCCTGGGGGAACTGTTGGCTGGTACCCCAGCCCAGGGGGGGAAACAAGCGACCTCAGGAGGGCCACTGCGGGAGGGCTTTGCCTGCCCACCCGCCTCCCTTTTCTCCTGCCACCTCTCTGGACACACTCCATTCAAGCTGGCTGTCTTGCTGTTCTTAGGAGACACAGGAGCTCCCTTCCACCTCAGGACCTTTGCACGGCTGTTGCAGATACCTCAACAACTCCTCCCCTACCCAGACTCTGCCCGCTTCTCTACGCCACTGAAACCACTCATTTTGCAGAGATACGGTGCGCTCAGTGCTCCCAGAGGCTGCCTGACTTCTAAGACTAGGTCAGCCCCAACTCACTTCAGGCAGTGAAATAACTCTGAAGACATCTGTTCAGTGCCTGCCTCTCCCCACCCCCCTCCAGCCTCATTCCCGTAATCAGTAACTTCCACGAGGACTTTCCCTTCCCTGTGTCCCCAGGACCTGGCCAGGACCTGCCTCAAAACTACATGTTGATAGACCAAATCAAGGGAGAAAGTGATGGTTCAAAGATGCTAATATCTGCATTTGGTAAAATCTATCAAAATTCCAGACCCATGTATCCTTGGAACCAAGCAATGTAGCTTCTAGAAGTTGTCCCAGCGGATACACTTCCTACATACGAGATAGAGCACACACAGCTTGGTTAGTTCTGCCCATGTGTGACCCTAAGAGACTGCACGCCACCTCACGCCCATCGCCTGGACTCACGTGACGTCATCTTGGCTCATTCAAGTCAGGGGACGCGAGACCGATACCGAAAGGGCTGGCGAAGTGACTCCCAAGTTGAGGCGGAATGACCAGCAAGAGACAGTGTTAAAGGAGAAAAGCAGGACACAGTCTGTGAGCATAGAAGCAGGGGAGAGTGTGTGCCCACGTGGTGCTGTCTCTAGAAGTTACGGGTAACCATGATGTTCTCCAGAAGGGGAACTGAGCACTAAGTAATCAGCACAGGGGCTTGGCAGAAAGAAGCCTCTGATTTCTCTATTATGCAGAGAAAAACACAACTGCCCAAAGATACGCTGACATCTAAAGGGGGTGGGCAGTGGCATCGCCTGGCATACAGTGGTGACACCTGGTTTAGGAGGAGGAAACTGACATGTAGTCTTCCTCTGCCTCTGATGGGCTGTGTGACCTTGGGGAAGTCCCCCGCCCACCAGGGCGTTCTCACGACAGCAGGTGGGCGGTTAAACTGGATCCCTCTCTGGCTGCTTCCGGCTCTGAAGTCTTCTGATTTTTCTAGCTGAAGTCTGATGTCCTAGTGAAGCTGTAGTGCAACATAAACGCGTGTGCAAACCTGCAGCACACCCAGGCACGCACGTGCCGTGCTGGCAGGCACGGCAGCACAGGTTTGCAGCCTAAGGAAGAACCAACGTCAAATCCACATCTAATAGTAAGCCTCGGTCCCTCCAACCATCAAACAAAACACAGTCCCCTAGCAAACATTCTGGCCTTGTCGGAAACACGCCCTCGGGCCCACAGAACAGGCACAGGAACTCGGCCACAGGGGCGCACCCCACACACGCCCTGAAGCATGAGGAACCCACGATCCGGTTTGCTCCACGAACGCCTGGAAGTATTTACACTGGTTTTAGTTACGCCAAGCAGAATGTCTGTTTTCCTCCCCAAGATTTTGAAAGTCGCACCGCACACAGGGACTACGAAGGCATTTCATGGTTGTCTTCCCAGTTCGCGGGGTGGTTGACAGCGAATCTCACAAACAGCTCACACGCGAGTATTTCTTTAGGCGGCCGGGATTCTGCCCAGTGCTCCCTACACACCCGGCACCCTCCCTGGTGGCACCCCGATGCCTGCATCTCGGGGAGCGAACTGAGCTTCCTCTCAGAACCACGTTTTCTCAAAAGAATTTCCAGAAACCTTGCTGTTCTGACCCCTCCCATGCATGAGCTATCCATGCATCACTGTAAGTCGTCATGACTTAACATTTCTATTTAGATTCATTCATATATTTGAATTTTTAAGGGAAATTTTACTCCACCACCACAAATGGAAAATAAACGTCACCCCCATAAATAGAAAGTAGAGTAAAAATATGCAGTGAGAAGAAAAGGCAGTAAGTTCAAGCGAGCTACAGTGGTTGGTCAGGGTTCAGGACCAGGGCCAACTCTTTCTCCCCTCTCGAAGCTCTTCCCGTATGGAGGCGCCACCCTACATGAGCACTTGGACGGCAGAGTCCACTGAGTGCTACCAAATGCTCTGCAGTTCTGCACCCTGCAAACAGCGCAATAATCAGAAGCATCTCCACAACCCCAGGAAGACTACTGTGCTCAAGGCTGGAGTGGGGGACGGAATCGCAAGTGTCAGCCGGGAAGGCATCAAGGATCCCGAGGCTCCACTCTTTGCCCCAAGTTCACAAAGAAGCCTAATGATGACAACGTGGGTCACTTCACCCCCTTACCTGCCACAGGGGGCCTCTGGGCCTCGTGCCTTTGCACATGCTGCTTCCTTTGCCCAGAACTCCCGTCCAGACTGCCTGTCCCCACCTCTACTCACCACACACATTTGTCCAAGAAGATTTTATCTGGGGACCCTCCCTGGTGGCGCAGCGGGTTAGGGCACAGCACTGCAAGCTGGCGCAACCACATCAGCACGAGTTCAATCCCTGGCCCCGGAGGTGACCCACATGGTGCAGCAGCTGACCTCTCCTGCCCCGCCCGCTGCCCCCCCAGCAGTGTTCTTGGATGATCTGCCTGTTCTGCTCCCCACTCTGTCTCTGGTGAAGCCTCTCACCGCCCCAGCACATCTGGCCTGTACCCCAGTTCTGTATGCACAAATAAATCAATCTTAAAAAAAAAAAAAAAAGATTTCACTTGGGTGGGCTGCCTCTGCCTGACTCCCTGACCCCTCAGGCTAGGGGGCAGCTTTCCTCCAGTGTTCCCAGAATCTACCGAGTCGGGTCGGGCCATCAATGCTAGACTAGCACTGACGGCAACAGCCGCGGCGGCGACCATCGCCGAGACCGTGTGCCGGCGCCCTTCTAAGAAGGTCCCGGGTCATAGCTGACT